TAGAAAAGAGAAAGGATACAAGGACTGAAAACGGGTTACTCCAATGTTCAAAAGGTCAAGGAGAAGAGGAAAACCAGGAACAGAAACTGCAGAGGAACAGCTAGTGACATAGGAAGGTCATAACCTGGCAGCCAAGAGAAGAAGGTGCTTTAAGAAGGAGGAGTGATGACTTGTGCCAAGTGCTGCCAATAGGCCAAGGAAAATGAGGATTGAGAACCCATCTTTGGATGAGGGCATTCAGGGCTTTAAGACTGTCACTTACTGAGCACCTATTAAGTGCAAGGCATTGTCCTGAACACTCATGTATAATAGTAGTAGAGAAGGAAGAGGCAGCTGCAGGCTAACTTTAATTGATAATAGCTGCCATTTATTGGGTATCTACTCTACATGTGATAGCTATTGGGAGCCTTACATATGCAATTCATTTAATCTTCCCCTTGCCTTGTGAGGTATGGCTCAGAGACATGAAGCTACCTCCCCCATGCGGCACAGCTATTAAGAGGCAAAACTAAAACTCAAACCGAATTCTAGCTGATGTCAAGGCCCGTGGTCTTCTGGATATCATTGTTTCTTAAGCAGTTCCCTGGGAAATCCTGAAGGGTCCCTGGGGTGTGGAAAGTCACCAGGAAAGATATATCTTTCTGTGGAGATCAGATTTACTCAAGGTTTTAAGAGAGGATATAAGTTTATAGTAAAAGAATTTTTACTATAGTATAATTTTTATACTGTATTATATAGTATAGTATAATTTTTATATAGTATAATATAATTTATACTATAGTATAGTATAAATTTTTATAGTATATAAAATTTTATAGTAAGAATTACGAATGTAAAGTGGAATGCAGAGTTCTAATATCAATTTTTAAATAAATGGATAACACATGTGGGCTTGTTGTCTGAGTCACTTTGGCTTATGTGTCGGTTTCTCTCCTTGGAACATCAAATTATGAATTTATCTTCTCTGAGAAAGCTGATTTGCTGTTTTTTCTAACTGGGTTGTGAGAACTGAGGTTCTTAACCTGGGGATCATAGAAAGTCTGGGAAGACATGAACCCTCTATGTGGAAAATTTTCTAATACAGACAGACTCACTTTTCTATGACAGTGTCTACCAGCTTCTTAAAGGGCCCTTGACTTCCAAAGGCTGAGCTCCACATGGCAGAGGAAGAACAGTCGGGGGTGACTTGGGGGTAACGGGTCATGACTTGCATGTGGCCATTTTCCTGGGCAACTTTTGAAGGCCCAGTTGTACCACAGCTGGACAACAATCATGGTGACCAAGCTACATGAATGCTACCAGATGAAGTTTCAGCTGTAAAACAGTGTCGGTTCTTCAACAGTTTGGCACCTAACATTTGAAATCAGGGCCAGTTAGGGAAACCTAGTAAAAGTGTTGGGTCATAATTGTTCCTCAGACTTGCACACTCCGGGATCAAGTGTTCATAGAACCACTCAGGGAAAAGAAGATGTAAGACCCATCTATTGTTTTTAAAAAAATATAAATAAGTCTGAATTAAGAAGATCCAAGATTCCTTGAATCATTCTTCCCAAATGTGTATGAGAAAACAGGACCTTACTTATGACTTCTTATTCTTCTCACCCTTTCTGCCTGTAGTTCAGAGGTGACGGATTAGTGCCTGGTAGCAATGTCTCCCTAAAATCTACACTATTGGAATTTTGAAGGATTATATGCAAATACTTAAACATCAGGAGAGTCTATCTCCCCTCCCACCCGATCAGGATGTCCAGCCTCTTGTGAAAATCATGAGATTTGTCAACATTAGACCTGTGTTTCCTCAGGAGACAATGAGCTTTGTTCAGGTAAACCCATTCTTACCACTTCCTGTTGTCCACACCTGACCCTGCCAGAGTCCTAGTCATTTGTAATCTCAGCCTCTGCTGTAATCAAATGCTCTTCAATGTTGCAAAACTCTTGATTGTGACAGATGAAGGAGACTGTTGAGAACAATTTTGAATACTATTTGGAGCTAAGCTCAATAGTTTTTGTTTGAATTGTTTTCAAATGTTTAATATAAATTGTGAATTAACAGGTCAATGACTTTGTTTCTAATATGGTGCCAACTACATCTATCTTCTCCCACGAATTTATAGCTTGGTAAATTTTAGAATTCCAAGAAACCTACATTAGTTCAGGCCAAATGAAACAGAGGTGAAAAAACTTAGTAAAAAGATTAAATTTAGTGCATTTCAAAATAAATTTCTTGATAGTAATTGAGTTAATGTCAATCTACCTCTAATAGAGTTTTCAAAGAGAAACAGAGGTAAAATTAATGTATAAATAATATTTACAAATTTAAAATAGCTGTAATTAATTTATAATTGGCAGATATTAAATATACCTAAACACTGGTATCATTTTAATTAACAAAACACATTCATTCTTTTAATTAAAATATCTGAACCTGAACACACACAAGTTGCTTCACCTGTTTCTCCATAGATAACACAACACATTCTAGACCTGCTAAGGCTGAATAATCACACTTCAAATTTGACAGCCTTCAAACAACTAAGCTTTTGCATTGCGGATATTTGAATTTTTTTTATTTGCGTAGACGAGCCAGGCACTTATCTTAATCACAGAGTCTTTAGGCAAAACACAAAATAAAACAGAAGTATAAAACTTAGGAAAACCCATCTCTGCCAGGAATGATGGTCAAAAGGACTCTTTCCTCAAAATGTAAATTCCAGCACAGAAAATGTTTATGATTAGATTGTGAAATGATTTTTCCAGACATTTTAATGAAGTAGAATAGCTATGAGTTCACTTATTTATTGCTACTTAACAAACCAGCACCATAATTAAGAGAACAATCATTTGCCCAAGAATCTGTAAGTTGGGTGGGGCTCAGTGGGGAGGAGTCATCTCTACTCTGTGGAGTATCCACTAGAGCAGACAGACCTCAGGTTGGAGGATCCATTTCTAAGTTAGCTGTCTCATACAAGTCACGGGCCGGCGCTGCATCTCAGCTAAGAGCACAGCAAGGGCAATTTATTTCTCTGCTTGGGCTTCTCCTGGGCACCCTGGGCTTCCTTCAGACTTGGTGGCTGGGTTCCAAGAATGAGTGTTGTAAGAAGACTAGGTTTAAACTGTGAGGTTTTTGGTCAAGACCTAGTTTCCTTAAGGTCCCCAAAGCAAAATGAACTAAAACCAGTGACTGAATATGATGAAAGTAAAGACAACTATATCCACATCACAGAAGGGAAAAAAAGGTCTTTGTCTGTCTGACTATACTGAAAACACGGCAAGGTTTCTAAGCCATAATGGAAGCTCTCAGTGGAAGCCAATTTCAACTTAGCAAATACGTAAATATATCTGACCCAACAGGGTCTGGATGGACTTCCAGATGGAGTTGTAGAAAAGGCAGCAGTTTCCCTGATATTTCCTGCTGATCCTTGGGAATCTTCAATGTCCAAAGGTACTTACAATCTTGTACGAGCACTTAGTAATGAAATTTTAGAATCCTGGCTTTTGTCCTTACTTAGGAGGGATTGTAAGCATCTAACCAAGTCTCTAACTCAGACACTGGAAGGTTGTTGCAAAACCAAGATAAGGGAGAGAGAAAGAAGAATGGCTTTGAGAGTGTCACTTCCCAAATGAGACCTGTCAGGGTCAGAGTGTTCCAAAGGAGGAGTCAGCCAGTGGCCAGTGTTATGGACATTTCAATAGCAGAAAGCATCTGCAGTGGGAGTGGTCTGATTCAAGGCAGTGATGGAGAGGTTGTGGGTATTAGCATGGTTGGCCTCATGTGAATGATGAGGGTTGAGGGCTTTCTCTTCACAGGATACTCAGCTGGGAGGGGTCAGCCCTAAAGATTGTGGTGGACACTTCCAAGTCTAGGGTATTGACTTCTGTTAAGAGGGGAACATATTTGGGAGACCACAGCCTCTTCACACACCACCCAAGTTGCAGAGTCCCCCTCACCTCCTTCACTTCACTGGATGCACAGATTTTATCCACTGAATCCTGGGTTGGCCCCCAGCCAACTGCACCTGTCCTGTGATCTTAGAACAATCTGACTTCCCCTGGTTTTCTAGTCATGGATGAGTGATGGAGGATGGCATGGTATCCCTGCCAAGGTTCTTATGTCCACCAGTGAAGCTACCTGTGTGGCTGTGCTGATCTGCTCTTGGAGCAGGTGAGCTCACCCTCTCTGCTTGGAGCTGAGGGCCTGGGCATTGGTCAGAAATGGGGACTGCCTGTTTATGAGCCAGTGGCCAGCAGACTGGCTGCCTCTTTGAACAAGCTGACAACATTTCTCAGGTTCTCCCTCCTCCTCCTCCTCAGTAAGTTCCCATCAAACATTCTGTCCCAGCAGGAGCCAATTTTTTTTAAAGTCTCAAGATTGAAAATAACTCAAAGGCTGTTTGGTTTCTATGTGCAGCTTGTAACAATAAGCCACCCTTTCTGGAGTGTCTTAGAAAGGAATGCTTGTGATGTCAAGTTTCAAAGAAAGACTCTGGCTCCAGATCAAGCTGGGAGCTGGAACAGTGCTCCACTAAACACCAAAAAGCAGTCACCTTTCAACCAGAGAGGAATTCCTCCTGTCCCAGGGGAGACGCTATCCACTCCCCACCATGCAGGATCTCGGCCTGATTTGCTTTCACTTCCTCTTTGTCTTACAAAGCAGGATGAAAGCAATCTGGTGTGATTTCTTGATGGGCTCAAGTTTTAGCCTTCACAACCACACTCCCCAAAATGCTTGAGAGAAAACAGAAGTCTAGCTGGGATGTGTGCAGGTGAAAGGTTAAGGCTCTCAGGTCTCTGTGTGTCCTCTTTTGCAGAGAGAAGAAATTCCTTCCTTAACCCACACGCAAACTTTTTGGTAGCTAAGTGTTTAAAATTAGCTAAAGTGAAGAGTCAAAACACACAAAACACTTCCTGAAAAGGATTTTCAGTTAAGGCAGCTTCAGCTTTGCCAAGAAAGACTGAAAAGCTCAGATCATTGAGAGCAAGGGGGAGGGCTGGACGCTTACCTGAGCTTCTCTCACTGTCCCATTTTCACTGTGACAGTCCTTGTTCTGACTGTGAAGAGTCCCATTGCAAACAGCACCACCTCCAGGATCAGCCATTTGTGTGAAATGATAGACCTGGCAGGTTTTCCTCCACAGGATCTCGGTGAGCTCTAGTTTTGAAGTTGGTGAAGGAATGAGATAAAGCACGTCTGCTGAACTGGAAGAATCCTACCAATCAGGCTTTTCCGGAAGAGGAGCAACAGCCTATATTTTGGGCCGATCTTTGAGACTAAAAACAAACAGCTACCTTTACACTCCTCAATTCACTGTGGCCTCCATGGCAACAAAACTGTTCCTGGAACTACAAAGAAGGTGCCCATGCTGGGTCCCTGCATTGACTGAGGTGACCAGGAGGTTGCAAACCCCAGTGGCAAACTGGGAGGAGGCCGGCAGGGAGGTGGAGAATCTTTTAAAGATACACACACACACTTCTGTCAAGTCAGTGCAGAATTTATCTCCATCCCTCCCACAGCTCCCTCCTGCGTCTAATTACATGTCTTGTTATAAACCAAGCTCAAAGTCAACATTTCTCCGCAGTAAAATAACATTCTGAAGTGCTTTTCAGGGGCAACAGGGAGGAGAGAATGTGAAGTTACTGTTTAATGAGTACAGAGTTTCACTTGGAGAAGATAGGCAGTTTGGGTGATGGATAGTGGTGAGAATGACAGTGTGAATGTTTTTTGTGCCACTGAACTTACTCTTGAAAATGGCTAAAGTGGTAAATGTTTTGTAATATATATTTTACCATAATACAAAAATGACAGGAAAAAAACTAGGACCCACATAATGTTGAAACCAGTGATATAAAGGAGAGGAACTAAGTCCAATGAGATAGAAGTCTGGGAGATAGAATATTATGGCTGCATTACCTTTAACATAGGACCTTGAGAAAGCTATTTCTCTCTTTTTGCCTCAGTTTCCCAGTCTATAAAATGACAAACATTTTTTTTTCTGTGAGCTCATGTCTGATGGGGTAGCAGATAATGGCTCAGATTTGTTAGGGACACAGGTGATGTGAGGCACGTGGTGACTCCAGCAGCCCAGCCCTGGGCACCACTGGTTTACTCATTAACTCTGATTCTCTCCACGCACCCATCCCCAGAGGTCTGTTTTCCCCTCTCACCATCTAAAGGCATGTGATGACACGGTTTGTTGGACAGTGTCAATCATTTACAACCTGTCGAGTCCTCCCACGCCCACCCGCCTGGTTCTTCCAAATTGAGGCTCCTTTAACGTCAGGCACTTAGAAAAGAAACCCACTTATTGGGTCAATGAACACAAACAAACCACAAGCACAACAAAAAGACAGAAGTAACCCTTGTTGTCAGAGCCTCATTTCTGGTTCTCAGCTCCCATGGGCAGGCTTTGTTTCCCCTCCAGGAAGATAGGACTGATGGAGGAAAGGATCACAAGTTTTCTCCCAGCCAGGATGTGCCTGTGAAGGTATTCATTTTTCTCATCTCCCAGAGACCTGAAAGAATAAAATACAGTCTTTGGGCAAATCCCTTTTGTGTCTTAAGATAGCATTTTTCTTGCATTTATCCCCACATTTATTATCTGAGCAGAACTAGGTTTTCACTAGTCTCTTCTGTGGCTGTTTCACTGGGATTTGTTGGCTTCCTTCTAGACTTACATATAAGAGAGAAGAAAATGGAAGGAGGGGTGCTGATAAATGCAGGCTTGGCTCTCTCAGTTTACTTAGAAAGACAAATTGAAAACATGATGTTATTTTGAGTGAGCTCCATAGACCCACAGAAAGTTATTTTTTGAATAAGGGTTTGGAAATAAAACTTCTTAACATTAGATGCTTCATTCCCTTCTCCATTTCTTCTCTTCTTCCTTTCCAACCCCATCGTCTTAAGAGTTTCCTCTTTTTTCTTTCATTCTACCCTTCCTCTTCCCCCTCTTTTGCTTCTCACTTTCCTTTTTTTTTAACAAAGGGCAAAAACCATTTATAAAGAAAATATGTCAAAACACAGCTGAAATCTGCTATGTTTTTCTGTCCTAATCTCAATTGCCAAGTGTAGATTGTCATACAGTGAACTTCAGGGAGTATCTACTACATGTTCTCATTTCTGAAACTGTTCTCATTGCCATATTGGAAGATGTGAATTTCCCTGTGCATAAAATCATTTTTAAGCACCAGCCATTTAGCATCAGGTATTGTAGGTATGGACAATCAGTGTTGGCTATGGTTTCACATCATCTCCAGTCAAAGTAAGTGGGGACATCTGTCCCCACTTTGAGAGTAAAGACATTCATTGCTACTGGTCTCAATATTTGTTTCCCCTCTAAATTCACATGTTAAAATCCTAACTCTGAAATGTGATGGTTTGGGTGGTGAGGCTGTTGGGAGATGATTAGGTCAGGAGGGTAGAGCACTGCTGATGGAGTTAGTACCCTTATAACCAGCCTGAGACGCTCCCTTAGTCCTTCAGCCTGGCGAGGTTACATCTGACAAGGGAGTTATCAATGAGTGAGCCCTCCCCAGATACCACATCTTCTGGTGACTTGGTCTTGGATTTCTCTGCTCCCTGAACTGTGAGAATTTTCTGTTATTTGTGAGCTACCCAGTTTATGGTATTTTGTTACAGGAGCCTGAGCAGGCTAAGACATTGATCAACACTAAAACACAGACTAACTATTGAATATGATTCCTTGTTTCTGAAAAAACTAAATGTATTTCAGATCAACCAGTAAACTCAACAAATGGTTGAATAACTGCTATATATTAGGCTATTTGCTAAGTCCTTTTACACAGCAATGAACTAGGCATAGGTATTCTCCACCCTCACAGAAATAAGAGTTATCACCTGTGTATCTTCTGCCCCTTAGTTTATTAAAGGCACAGACTGAATTAGTTAATGATGGCTTTGTGGTTATTTCCTGAAGGGACTTTTGCCCAGATGCCAGCTTCCAGGGGTAGGCAACAAAGGGGTGTTCAGAAGCTTGGTAATGTGTTACTTTTAACCAAGATCAAGTTAAATTCAGTTTTTGCACCTCTGGATTTTGTGCACTATTATGTTTGGGTAGTCAGAAATAATCACAATTGTCACCACCTACGTTTGCTGTGACACAGATCATACCCACCGTACTGGATGCAATCAGTGCCTCATTTGTAGCTTTTGGCTTCCCTGGGGTCCCCGACAGACAGTCCCCTTACTTTCCAGCTCCTTCCTGCATCTCACTGTGTTTGTGCAGGTTCTCTGACCAGGAAGTGTGCTCTGCCTCTGCAGTGAGGCCAGACATGCTGGAGACTCACATCCCTGGGAGCAGTCCTCAATCTTTGGGGGACAGCAGATGTTGCAGAAATGCCCCATATCTTTCTTTCTCTATGAGACAATTGTGAAGTGTGTTTACAGGCTCTCTAGAGTCCCCAGTGAGATTGTGTCCTATTCTCCTAGGTAGCAACCTATTACCAAAGGCAAGTTCAAGTGCCAGAAGCACCACAAAGCCAAACATTTGAAACATCATAGTTTGGAGCAGAGAAAGATTTACTGCAGACCTGAGCAAGGAGGATGGGGTGACTCATGCCCAAAGAAACCTCGAAGTCCTTGAAGGGTTTTAGCAAAGCAAATTTAAAGGCCAGGTAAGGGAGGGGATCTACCAGTACCTGATCAGCTTGTGCACAATTCTCTGATTGGTTGGTGCTGAGGTAACCTGGTAGTCAACATTATCAAATCCTAAGAACCAGAAAGTCTGGGGGCCATGTGCTCTCCATCATCAAGTAGTTGATTTCTTCCCCTTGGTCGTGGTTTTTTAGCCTCTGAAAAATTCAGGAAATACGCATGAGATACTATTATCTGGGTACTTCAGAGAGGAGTTACAGCAGAGGATATAGCAGAGGGGTCTGACCCTGGAAGGCCCCACAGGTTCCTGCTCAATTACAACCCTCATGTGAAAACACCTATTGTTAGCTTTCCTCCTTTCCTTGCACTTATATCTACTTTTCTTGAAACCCCTCCTAACACACTGACTGTACCAAAGCCTTATCTCAGATTCTATTTGGGAGCAGGGGATGGAATCTAAACAGAGACAAACAAGTCCCAGTTGGTCCATCAGATTTGTTGATTAGAAATCCGGTTGTGTCTTTGAACGATTAATATCAGATTGCTCTGAAGATTAAGAGAAACAGTGTAGGAAAAAAATCACAGTATATTCATTGAGTAAAACGTCAATGAATTTGAGAGACAGACAAGAAAGCTTTTGTGTCCCCACAGGAAAGGTTTGCCAGATATATGTGAGAAGAGAGTCTCTGCACCCTAGTTAGGGAAGGAAAGTGATGGATTTCAAGGTATGATATTATAAATGTACTAGACATTTGAATGAGGTACAGGCTCCACAAATTCTTTTAGAATGTGTTTTATCTGTAGAAAAATTAAAATTAACTTGTCCTTTATTACAAGCTTTGACGGAAAGAAATCCTTCTGTTTTGAGCTGGCAGGAGATGATAAATGTAAATTATATATTCAGTATCTTTATTAGTTTTCTATTGCTGCTGGAACAAATTTTCATATACTCAGCTGAAATAACACATACTCCTCACCTCAGAGCTCTGTAAGTCAGGAGTCTCATGTGGGTCTCACTAGACTAAAATGAAAAGGTCAGAAGGGTTGTATTCCTTTCTGGAGGCTCTGGGAGAGAGTCTGTTTCCTTGGCATTTCCAGCTTCTAGAAGCCACTCACGTTCCTTGCCTTATGGCCCCTTCCACCCTCTTCAAAGACAGCTACACCACATCTCTCCAACCTTTCTTCAGCTGTACATCTCTAACACAGCTGGGAAGGTCCTCTGCTTTCAAGAAATCATATGATTAGATTGTGATGATCTGGATCATTCAAGATAACCTCAGAATAAGCTCAATTACATTTAAAAAGTCCCTTTTGCCCTGGACAGTAACAGAGTCACAAATTCCAGGGGTCAGGGTGTGGACATCTTTAGGTGGGCCATTATTCTGCCTCCTACAGTATCTATTACTATTAACTTAAAGTGTATAAAAATCATGGAGGGTATTTTTAGTTTATTGCTTTTATTTTTAAGGGCTATATTAAACGTGTATTTTTAAGGCTTTCATAGATTCATCCTCAAATGAGCATCCCAAACATTTTTAAAGCAGGTTTTTTATTGCAGTCTAATATTCATAGACAAAAGAACACTACGTCTACAGTTCAACAAATTTTCAAATAGTGACCTTATCTGGGAACCTGCCCCACAAAACTTGTCTAGATCCAGAGCCTGTCTCATGCCTGCCCTGTTCATTGCTCTCTTCTCCCCGCCCATAACTAGTATCTTCATTATTATCACCATAGATTAGTTCTGCCTCCTATTCTGACGTTAGCTGTTATGCAGAATATATAATTTTGAGTCTGGCTTCTTTCACTCAGTTCTTGTGTTGAGAGTTTT